GTCTGACATTGCCACTTCTGCTTTCTTTTTGCTTGCCTTTGTATGGTCTCTTGTTAACTAGATCTTTATTTTTAAACTTTTTCTTTTTTACATGTGTGTTTTATTTAAATAGTACAGAATTGGATTTTACTTTTTTTTCTCCATCAAGAGAAGGAAGGATTTATTATTATTACTATTGTTTTTCCATGATGGAGAAAACTTGGGAATACTTTATCTAACCTAAATTCAAAAATATAACTGGCGGGGCTTCCCTGGTGGCGCAGTGGTTGAGAGTCCGCCTGCCGATGCAGGGGACACGGGTTCATGCCCCAGTCTGGGAAGATCAGAGCGGCTAGGCCCATGAGCCATGGCCGCTGAGCCTGCGTGTCCGGAGCCTGTGCTCCGCAACGGGAGAGGCCACAACAGTGAGAGGCCCGCGTACAGTGTCTGACCTCAAAAAAAAAAATATATATATATATATATATATATATAAAACTGGCAGCATTTTCTAAGGACAGCTGTCTTGTGAAACACCCTTATGCCCAGAATTACAGGGTTAGAATGTTCACCAGTAGAGATTTAATTTAGTGACCATTCTAGTGGAATTTTAATTTAGTAAAAGAAGAGAAAATTGACACTGAAGCTATAATGAAATATGCCTTGTTAGAAGTAGGGTCAAAAAGTGATGACTTAATGACATTAAATAGTGTGTTTTTCCTTTCTTTTTTTTTTTTGAATTTTATTTTTTTTATACAGCAGGTTCTTATCAGTTATTTATTTTTTACTTATTAGTGTATATATGTCAATCCCAATCTCCCAATTCATCCCACTACCCCCAAGGAAGGATTTATTATTATTTGCAGCCAGTAAGGAGAACATCTAGGGTTTTCCCAAAGCAGTGTTTGTCTTTTACTTTTTATTTACATCTGACAGTCTCAGATCTTTAATAGGGAAATTAATTCTCTTCCCATTTTTGTGTTAATTAATATACTTAGGGTTTAGGGATTCTGTGTTATTTTTCATTTGTTATCTGTATCAGTTAGGGATGTGCTTGGCCATAAGTAACAGAATGCACGATTAATAGTTGCCTAATTAAATAAATCTTTCATATTTATTTATATTACCACATTTCACTGAATAACTACAGAACTTTATTCCTTGGACTTCCTTATTTTTCTCAAATGATAAGAATTCTGGAGGTGTACTGCAATGGATAGATTAGTTTAGCTGCTCAGCAAGATCATCGAGGCCCCGTCTCCTTCAGTCCTTCCGCTTACTCATCCTTAGTATGTGGCTTTTCTCCTTATGGCTGCAAAAGTCCTCCAGCAGCTCCTGGCATCACTTCTTCATTCCACGCAGGAAGAAGGAGGTGAGGTAAACGAGTAAAGAGTGAAGGGGCTTCTCCTAAGAAGTGTTCACCTTTTTTTTTTTTTTTAATGTTTTTTTTTATTGTGGTAAAAGTCACATAATATAAAACATACTATTTTAACCATATTTAACTGTACAGTTCGGTGGCACTAAGTACATTCACATTCTTATGCAACTCTCACCATCATCCATCTCCCGAATTTTTCACCTTCCTAAACTGAAACTCTGTCCCCTTTAAACACTAACTCCCCATTCCCCCTACCCACCCCCTCCACCGGCCCCTGGCATCTACCAATGTACCTTCTGACTCTACGAATTTGACTATTCTAGGTCCCTTGTATGAGTGGAATCAAACAGTATTTGTCAGCAACCTTAAGAAGTCTTCACCTTTTGTTTCGAGAATGAGTCCCCGTCACTGGGACTTCTGCCTGCATCTCCTTTGTCAAGAACGGGGATGTCTGGTCACTCCTAGATCGATTACTTGCCAAGGAGAATAAATTTACATGATGGGTTTAGACTAATTTTATTTGTCCTTGGAGGCTGGGATAGACACCTGCCTCTCCTGAAACCAAGGGATCTCTGTTACTCCCCAAAACAAACTGGGGTTTTTAGTAAGGCAGGAAGGTGGCTGGAGTGGGTGATGAGGAAGTAACTGACGGTGCCTGCTATAATAACTACACATTTTCTGTTGTTTTCTCTTTTCCCTTTAAGTATTTTTGCAGGATTGGTAAGCCTCTTATTTACTTTTGCCCACTATTAATTTGGAAGTTCTACAATTCTAGTAGTGGTTGCTTCCCTGGTTCTATCAGTCATAATTAAACTTATATTCCTCTATTACTATATTGCTTTAACATACTAAAAATATACCAATGCCGGGGGAATTAATGCTGCCTTCTGCAATAGGTAAATGCTGGAATTCCAGTGGGTTGACATAATGAAGGCTTATTTCTGATTAGGTCACAGTTTGATGTGGATTAGGTAGCTGTCTGCCTGGCTTGCTTTCGAGCACTGACTCATGGATCAGGCTGTTTTTTGCTCCACCATCTTGGAGTCGTTTATTTCCCACTGAAGGGATGGGAGAGAGAATGTGGAAAAGGCACTCCGATTGCAACCAGCCTCAGCCTGAAAGTGGCACAAATCACTTCCCCTGACGCTCCACAGACTAGAATTCAGTCACATGGCCCCATGGAATTGAAGGGAACCTGAGAAAAGTGGTCATCTGGTGGGCTCAGGGAGTGGAGCTGGGGTGCTGGACATAGCGTAGTCACTGTCACAAACTGTCATTCTGGTTACTCACTTGTTTTGTTCTTCTCTGCATAAATACACTCACCACCTCCTTAAGGGGATGCCCGCAAGTCTCACCCGGTCACTGCATCAACCCGAAGTTCACAGTCTACACGTGTTCTGTGTTAGGCACTCTAAGGTCCTGATATGGCTAAAAAGACATGTCATCCTAACACGGCCCACCTTTAAGACACGATGTACAGTGGGGGAGCAGGGTCAGAATATCCGCTATGGAAAAGGGGGGAGTGTGAGCCCCACTCAGTCACTAGTCTATAGCATCCTGAAATCCTCCAGGTCAGGCTCTGCGAGGTCCCCCTGCCCTGGCAGTGAAGGGATGGCCTTGAATGGATGCTGTCTGTGCCCTGGAGGCTCCTCTTGTTCATTATTCCCCTTGGCCACATCCAGAGTGAGTGTTGAGGGTCGCATCCTCCTTGGACCAGTATAGCCTTTGAGACCTGCCCCCTGGTCATCGAGGCTGGGTGCCCAATTGTTGTTTAAGTCTTGAACAATCAGAGGCTTTTTTAGTCCAGACTCAGAGACTTGGGAAGCTTCTGATCTGTTTGCTTCCATGTGCCGGGAGCAACATCGAAGATTCTTCTCTAGACGTATTTCGCAAATTGCCTGTTTTTCTTTGCCTCTTCACCCTGATGCCTCTACCTTTCGACTGAAGGTCATCTACGTTAGGCTCTTTGAAAAATAAGTGTGAGAGATTGCAGTCTGAGTGTGCTTGTGAGGGGCAGAGACAGGGTTGGGAGAAAATCACACAAGGCTGTTGTTCAGGAAATGCCTGTGAGAGAAAAAGGAGCAGGCTGGGAGAGCCGTGGCATGGCAGTGCAGGCGTGACCTTGAGTGAAGGAGAGGGGGACGGCAGGTTGGCTGGAGGTGTTCCAGGCAGCCACGCAGTCCAGGGAAGGTTTGTCAAGGCCTCCGGGGAGTTGCCCATCAGTGGAGTCCCATGTCTCCCAGGAACCAGCCTGCCATGCTCAGTCAAATGCTGGGAGCCTCCTCTGGAAGCATGGCCTTGGGCAAACACAAGGGCATGGGAGCTGGAGTGCACAGTCACTTATGCTCCCTGTTGTGAGATGTCCATGGAGCACATTCTCATGACCATCACAGAGATCTGTGTCCTCGGGCCCTTTATTCACCTTAAAAGTTTTACTGGGCCACTCATGCAAAACCTTTAAAAATCCCATCTCTTGCAGTTTGGGGCCTAGAAAGAGATGGCTTTTCCAAACCTACAAAGTCCCGGATTTCTATATTCTCTTTATTCCCTTTCATTTCTACTTGCAAAATGCTCAATTCTTCCTTGAACTTAACGTCTTGCCAAACACAGCTCCTAGCAACCAACCCACTACCAAAGTTCTATTTTCCAGTATCTTCCCTTAGGGGGGATAGGTTCAGAAGGCAGGAGGGTCTGCCTTTTAAGTGATAGTGCCTGATAACTTTACCAGGTGCTTTGCTCCTGCATCACGTGGATCTCCAGCCATTCAGCCTCTAAACATCACTGGTAAGGCAGTGACACTTAGTTGATATTCCTGTTTCAGCCAGTACCCCACTTTAGATTTCCATTTTAGTCATGGTTATCAATGGAATCTGTTAGAACAGGCAAACTGAAAAATCTCAGTGACTTAATCCAACACAGGTTTATTTCTTGCTCAGGTTACAGGCTGATGTGGGTCAGGGAGACTCAGGGGCCAGCTGCTTCATCTTGCAATGACACCATCTCCAATTCCTTATTTCCAGCCAATGGACAGGAGAGATAGAGATAGAGATAGAGATAGAGACAGAGATAGAGATAGAGATAGAGATAGAGAGAGAGAGAGAGGGAGGGAGGGAGGGAGGGAGAGAGAAAGAGAGAGAGAGAGAGAGACAGAGAGAGAGAGACAGAGAGAGAGAGACAGAGA